ATCGTGTCACAGTGTTAGGGATAAGCACAGAAGCTCAGAGATATACTGAGTACATTTTTCGTGACACTTTGTACAGAGATATGGTATGAGCAAAGCAAAAATTAGCTTACGCTTTACACAATTGTAACGCTAGCCCATTTCCTCTTACCACAACCCAAACCAAGTCGCGATACGCTTGCATGACGTCTGTCTCTTCTAATATTTGTAACCACCTAGTTACCTAACATTTTAAATCATAAAACAGTCTGATAGAAGAGTCCGTCGTGGTGGCCCAGAGGTTTAACACGCCCGCTTCTGATGCACGAGGGCGATCAATGTGACTTTTTCCGAGTTATATGTACAAAACGACAAACGGTGAAGGAAAACATCGTGAGTGAACCAGGGCTTATAATTGCTAATTATAAGTTTGAAATTGCCAACTCGCATTGAGCAAGCGTGGTGATTAATGCTCAAACTTTTTCCGTGTGAGAAGAGGCCTTAGAGAGGTCAGCAGTGGCCACTTATAGGCTGTTGATGATGATGATGAGAAGAGATGGATGGACGAAGATAAGTAATCGTAATCAATGAACAGTAGACACGATATCAAATATTTTTCTACGTAACGAATAAACCTTCTCTATTTACCTATATGTTGTCATGTCGAGGACGTGCCGTAATATCCTTACAACTCTTGCAAGACAGGTGGAGGTGCTAACTCCATGCCAAACTTATTTATACTCAACTTTGAGCTTATTAAGAGTTTGTGATTCGTTTTACATAACCTTCTATATCATTTTCATGGACGAAACATTAACTTACTTTCAAGAATTGTAGAGATTATTCACCAGTCTATAAATAACGGAAACATGATTCCCCGAACTATTTTTAGAGTTTGGGGTACAATGGACAATGGAGCTGTTTAGAAGAAAGAAGATATTCCTTGGTTATTTATTCTATGTGTGTGCACAATAACATAACACAACACAAAGTGTCCGTCCGGTCCGTATATCTCGGATCCGCGGCCGTCCGGTGCGTATTGTGCCTGTGTTTATCGCTTCCGGCCCGTTGTGCCGGCGCGCCACCGAAACCGAGCCGTTTGCATATTATGTACCGCGGAATTCGCGCCCTCACTCTGTGTATGTAATAAACTCGCTAAACTAAGATCTTATGAATAGTTTTCCCCCGTCTTTAAAACTGGAATATTTATGTAGCGAGATAAGTGTATGTATGCTGTTTTATAAAAGAAAAGATATCATCTTAAAATGGTCAATGATGAACTATAAAAATAGATTTTACAATTTAAGCAATAACAAAAAGCTTTGAACGATGATCGAAGTCAAGGTCGGTCGGTCACATACGAACGCAACTAACAGAGTATCCTATAATCCCCATGCTTGGGTTGCATATCGCAGTTTAAAAACTTCTGATTTATCTGAGGGCGCTGCTGCTCGGTCTCTCACCTGTAGCCAAATGTCATTTAGGTTAACGTTACTAACATTTCCAAGGAATAGCAAAATTTGTGATCTATACTACGATCGGAACTTCGTAGCATACAGCAAGCTACGGAGTAGCTACCTGCGTAGCATGTCCATTGCCTTTACGTCGAACGTAGATTAGTACTTTTGTAGCAACAATAGTGGATATCAAATACAGAGAGTCACAACTGTCAGACACGTTGCTCTGGACTCCTGGTCAATAATGGATACGAAGGAAATAAGTATTATGGAACCTTTGATGAATAATAAATAAGTATTTGAATTCTATTCCAAATTAACACGAAAAACAACTTGCGAGAAACTAATTATCCTCAAACTGTTCTCTATCGAGAGCTGCATAATTTACTTTAAGGATTCTGTCCACTAGTCAAAAGGGCAAGGGACTGGCCACTCCGGGATTTGCATAACTTAAATTCGATTGGGTTGCCCTTTGACAAAGAAGGTCCGAACTATAAATTAGGTCAGCTGCACTACAGTTATACAACGATAACTTTACTAAAACTTTGTTACTAAGTCAAATCTCTCGATTATAATGTGAATACAATGACATGTGAGCATTAATAATTGAGAAGGATGATAATTCAGGCACATTTGAACACGAGAAAGTAGCAATTTGTGTTTTACAAACATCATCATCTCGAAAAAGTTCATGGCATCGCTTTGAAACTTGCTAGGAGTCGGAGTCATAACACGGAGTCATAACGTAACGTCAGTGTTGTCACCGACAGTTCGCTCTGAACATCCAAGATAACGTACTTATTGGACTTATTAGCAGCAGAGCCTGTAGGTGAACGTTAATGATCACATTATCTAGAAGGATCTCCGATACAATGACTGTTTATAAGCGGGAACATCACCGTATCTCGCGCCAGTTAAAAGATAATGCGCGCGTAGTCTCCTAATAACATTTGCATATCTTAATGCGAGCCCGCGGCACTCTCCGCCCGGCGCCGGCCGCGGCCGATACTACGAGCTGAACACAATACTTGCTGCCTAGTGGTATCGACACAATCACACAGCTTTACAAACAAATCATTAATCTACTCGCACATTACAGACTAGTTTTAATAATGGTAGGAATGTAACGGCTGCGGTGTACAGCATTCAGACGAGTGAAACATAGCATAGCAACGTTGTTGTGTATTGATCAAAAGAATTTGCACAAAAACTGTACATCGGGAATTCGTGGAGACATCAAAGGATGGGCATTCACGTCGCGCACAATAGTGGCGTGCGCATGCACGTGAATGGGGCGCGCCGCGGACGGGGCGCTCGCGTTCCTATAAAATTCAAAAATGGAAGTATGGAAGAAAGCTCGCGTCCTACCTACATTCTGAGAGTTTTGTCCCGGCACAATGGCACCACTCTGTATAGGAATTCGTTCTAGTTTATTACGGAATACATGGCTTGTAAATCTTTTGTTGACATATTTATATATGCTCCGCTGCAATTGTTCGGAGACTTTATTGTATTGCTATTTACTATACTGATTTATGTTAAAACATGAATGTGGCAGTGTATTGCTGCAGGCTATGTCAATTTGTGTTGGTTATACACCTTAGTTGCTACAGAAACATACGATTATGTAAACACCTCTCCTTACTGCAGCTCTATTACTTCTCCATGTAGGTTCGACATTTTCACTCATAAAACCACTTCTAACCTCTCAGTGTGTGGGTATACCTATCAGTATTAATAACTACATATTATCTTTTACAACGGGACCACCTCAGAAGGGTAACCTTTAAAAGAAATATTTTGATCGGTTCACAAACGGCGGTGTAATCGGTGAACATACATAAACAAATACTCCTTTTTTAAGTCGTTTAAAATATTTTAAAATACACTATAACAGGAACTCACAGAACACACGCACCATATCTAATACACCTATAACGTACCTATAATGAAACAAAATAGTAGGTAGGTACGTCGGTATCGAATACACAATGAAATTAATGAAATGAAACTTAGTTTTTTGTCCTTTGTCCGAAAATTACACACTGTATTAAAACACTGAAATATTAGTTACATAGATATATTATTAAAGTGTGGCCATGCTTCGGCACGAATGGGCAGTCTCGACCGGAGTGATAGCACGGCCGAGCAGAAAACCGACGCCCCCTTCCCCAATCCCAACAATCCTCTAATTCCTAATCCTCAAAAGGCTAGTAACGCACTTGTAGATAACGCCTCTGGTGTTCCAACCAAGTGTCCATAGGCGACGTCGATTACTTACCCATCAGGTGATCCGTTAGCTCATTTCCTGGTTTATCCTAAAATTATAGACTAAACTTTTGTATGAAAAATGTATAGAATAAATTAAAATAAATAAGTTTAATTAACTAGGTTTTTTATGGATAACAGATAATGGGTTAAAATGTGTATTGTTTTTATTTTTAATCACATTTTTCGTAAAACAGGTGTGCCAGGTGTAGTGTAGTGTAGTAGTAGGTAGGTAAGTACCTAC